GTTCTTTTATACACATGGAAAATATAACAAAAGTTAAAAATGTGCTTTAGAGCCAAAAGACCAAATTGACCAAACTTTGAGCTAACTATGGCCAAAACAGTTTATGTACACTATTAATTAGGTTGTACTAGCTCAAGTCTGAGGTTCAGCATACTTGGCCATGGAACAGATCTAAGGAAAGCCTGAATTTCCTTAGTGAGTCCCATGTTTTAGAAAGCAAAGGGCTTCCCTGTAAATATAAAACTGAGGTCAGACCTTGGTTCACATGTGCTATAGCCATCTACAATAAATGAAGGGCTCTGAAGAATCAAATTAGCCAGTAAGAAAAATTCCAGTCTAGTGCTTAAATTGTACACGTTAAATTGCTATATCTTCAAGTTCGCTAACACTTTTTTTTTTTTTTAGCTTTTGCTATGGGGTGCATGTGCTTACCAGAAAGAGACAGAGAGAGAAACCACCCCCAGGGGAGATGGCCACACTGCAGTGCGTTCTCATCTCCTCAGGATTTGGGGCACCCATGCCCACATGCCTGGTGTGATTTTCAAGCCATCAGGTCAAGGATTTGAACCACGCAGGCAGCCATGTGAGATCCAGGGACTTAACCTCCAGTCACCTGCTGGCCCAACACTCTTCTAACATCTCCAATCTATTAAATTTATCCAGTGGATAATTTTATCCATTGTTTTTCTCTTTATACTTTCTAACTCTTTACTGAGATTCCTTACAACTTTGGGTCACTTTCTAAGATTGGCCCAAAGCAGATATATTGCAGCCTCTATACTTTGCCTATGTAAAAAGGAAGAAAAATATTCCTGTTGATTAAACTACAACCACCACAATCACAGCTGTAGGAATGGCTGGAAACGGAGACTGAGTAAGAGCTAAAGTGTTCCAATGTTAAAGCAGAGATGGAAGGAAGATCAGGATTAGGGGAGCCAGAGAGCTGGGAGTGAAGTACAACACGGTAGGTCAGGGTAACGAGCATTTCTTTCTTTTTCCTGTTTCTGGCTGAGAGAGGAAAAGATATGCAGGTGAGCAAGAACACTCTGTACATTTGACTATGATTTTACAAAAAACAACTGATGAACAAACGTCCTGAAAACCACAGGAACCAAACATATGCTCAACATCACCAATAAATAGTATTTTTTTTCTGGAAATTTCTCCGAAGGTGTTGCCTTGACTTTCTTTCTCCTGAATGAATGCTACTGAAGACCAAAAAAATTCATGATCAAGAGAGCTCAGTAACATATTTGACTTTCTCTTTTGTGCTGTTAAGTAGTAGTTATCCTTTTTTTTTTTTTTTTTGGAAAGGATTTTGCTATAGGGTGCGTGCACTCGCTGAAGAGAGAGGCAGAGACAGAAAGTAAAAAATCATCCATCAGGTGATTTTCTCTTCTCCTGGGATTCTGGGCATGCATGCACACATGCCCATCATGAGGTTCAAGCCTCTGGGTCTGTGACGGGAACTGCAGTAAGCCATGTGGGAGTCAAGAGCCTTAACCAGCATGCCACCTGGTGGTCCCTATCATCAACTTTTGATAAGCATTTCCTTAATGACTTGCAATCACATATAGGTATAAGAAAAAAAGGAAAATTTAAACTTGTAGAACACATAGACTAGAAAGTGATTATTCTATTTCTTTTACAAAAGACTTCACGACAAGATTCACCTAAGTAAATCTCCCATAAAATATTTATAATTTAACTCAACTTACATTATACACTATTTTGTGTACCAACTGTGGAATTTCAGTGTCCCCAAAATCTGCTTCTATTAATAACTTCATTAAGTGGCATTCTTAACACTTGTATTCCAAATGAACTTAATAAAGTGTTTTACTCATTACTCTGTATTTCTAATTCACCATTCCTCAGAGTTCTTTATCAACAGATGTCTCCCAAAATATTTTCCAGAACCCCTAAAGAATGAGTTTAAAATAAAAAATGTAAATACATGCTAAAAGCTAGTGTGCACTTAGTATTAACCATATTTGTCATTTTAATTATTCTACCCTCCACGGAATGATATCCTGTTGTGAGTAGGCGTGTGTGTTGTATGTTTTAATCATTTTTTCCGTTTTTTTGAAGTCAATTTCTCACAGTAAAATTCACTCACTTCCAATGAACTGATTGTATACAGTTAGTAACGAAGTTTACAACACATTCCCTTTCCTAGTTTCCTCATGTGCTTTGATCCCACTTCCTGACCCCAGCCTCTGGCAATCCCTGATCTTACTCCCAATATAGCTCTGCCTCCCCTGATGGCTTTAAATTGCACTTTCCTGATAACCAATTACCTTGAGTATTTCTTCATATGTATTCTGACCATTGTCCATAACTTCTTTAGTGAAGCATCTACTCAAGCTTTTCACCAAATTTTTATTTCTTACATTCTTATTATTAGTCTGATACACAAGGGACATTTCAAAATGGAAAAGGAAACTAAAAGTATGCGTTTGTTCTGGTGTTTCAAAAAAAAAAAAAAGAAGACCAGCAGACAGTGTAAGGTTACATCACTGGACTCCCACATAGTTGACTGCAGTTTGAGTTCCCGACCTGGTGGCTTAAAACTCACACTGGGCACGTGTGTGCCCAAAATCCTAAGAGGAGTATGGAGGAGAAAGGATTGCAGCGTGGCCACCCCCTGGGGAATGAAATCATCTTGGGGGTGACTTTTCGCTATCTTTCTTTCTCCCAGCAAGTGCATGTGCCCTATGGCAAAAGTCGCTCAAAAAAAAAAAAAGAAAAGAAAAGAAAGAAAGAAAAAATTGAAATCTATGGATTTTCACCATATTACACATTCTCCATGTATTTGAAAATCCTTATATTCTTACTGCTATAAATCCTTTGATTAACGTACTGCAAACATTTCTTTGTAGTTAGCAGTTTGTACATAATGTAATTTTTTTTTCAGGCTGTTTTTGAGATTTTCTCTTGGCTGTTAGTTTACAACAATCTGACAACTATCTTTCTACATGTATTTTTGTTGTATTCATTATCCTAATTGGAATTTACAGACCAGTATTTTTTTTTTTTTCACAAATAGGACTTTTTGTCACTATTAAAAATCTGAACTTGAAACAGGTTCCTGGACTCGCGACTCATATCCATCAGCTCGTTCAACTTTGGTGTCCATCTCATCCCCAGTAGTTTTTCCAGAGCTACTACCTTCACCATGAAGCTCCATGAGTTTTCTCAATTCAAACTTGGGCTTCTTCAGCACTTTAACTTTTCTGATGAAGACATCATGGAGAGAGTAGATGGACTGGCAGGCCTTTTCTATGTCTTTTCCAATGCTGTCTGGAATCAGTTTATTGACCATTTCTTTCAAGTCATTTGTCTGCACCTCCTGGGTCATGATTTTCCATTATTTTCTTCCGGATTTGGCGGACCTGCTGATGCTGGGCATAAGAGACATTCCATATCTGATTGTTGCATTTTGTAGTAAACCCGACACAGAAGAGACGAAGCAAATAACCATCGGTAGTCTTGATATCCATATGAGCTTCAATCATGGTCTGCCATTTTTTTTTTGAGAGGTTTTTGCTATAGGTCACGTGCACTCGCCAGACAGACAGAGACAGAGAGATAGAAAGCGAGAAATCACCCCCCAGGGAGGATGGCCACGCCGCAGTCTCTTCTCCATTCTCCTCTCAGGATCTTGGGCATGCACGCACACGTGCCCAGCGTGAATTTAAGCCACCGGGCCCAGGACTCGAACTGCAGTCAACTACGTGGGAGTCCAGTGACATAGCCTTTATGCTAACTGCTGACCCCTTGGTCTGTCATTTTTTGACCATGGAACACATTTTGTCACGGATGAGATCCATGCCATGGAAGTTAGTCAGGCAGTTTTTGCCTTGAACGGCCTCAGTAATTAGTTTAAATTTCCTAAATGTGACTTTGTTGTTCTGCAGATCTACAAGGCTCACTTCAAACATGCAGCCCTTAAGGCCATCAGACACAATTTTGGTCCCTTGAGTCCTGGTAACTAGTATCTTCCCAATATTTCTTTTGTTGAACATAGCAGGTACTTTCACGTCACACCAATCTTTTTTAGAAAATGGATTAACCACTTTCTTCTTGGCTCCCTTTTATCCGCCTTTCATAGGGTGCTTATTCTTGTCAACCAGTATTTTTTCAAGAGTTGGAAAATTGGGGGCTGTTATTTCTTCAAATATATTTTTTCCTGCCTTATTGTCATTCTTCTGTCTTTCTGATTCCTCAACTACATGTATTGTTCATCTTTTTGATATTGTTCCATAGGACATCGAAGCGCTTCCCCCCATCTCCCCACCAATCTCTCTTTCTTCAGGTTATATAAGTCAAACTACTCCATCTTCAAATTCTCTATCACTTTCTTCTGACATATCCAATTTGCTATTAAATGAATTCTCCATTTCAATTATTTTATCTTTCTGATGCAACAATTCTATTTGTTTTTCTCTTTATACTTTCCATTTCTTTGCTGAGATTCCTTATCACTTCACTCATTAAGATGACAACTGCTATAAATCTTTGAACATGTGACTAGCAGCTTTAACAATTTCGTAAAATTTGATATTTGCACCAAGTCGAGATTTGTTTTTCTTTACCATGGAATTCATTTTCCTGTTTCTTTCCATATCTAGGAACTTTTTATGGCATACCACACATTATAAAAGGTTTGTTATAGAGATTTTAATTAAAGATGTGAGATTTTTTCTCAATAATGTGGATACATGTTTTGGCAATCAGAAGATGTACAAATGCTTCCTTCTTAGATCCTAGCTATGATCCAAACTGATATGTAAAATCAGTTTTATGTCCTAAAACACATAGTGAAAATCAATTTGTAAGACACTACTAAATGTAAGTAAACAAAATACCTGATTTATGACCTCACGAAAGAAAGATAAATAACACCATCTTCCCGAGGATCTTCACTAATCCAGTGCCTGAGATAACAACATACAATTTGAAAAGAGACTACAGTAAAGAGTTCTCAAGTAAATTGATTATTGACCTACTTTCCTTTTATTGAATTAAAATTATACAATGTATAAAACAGCCATCTATATATAAAGCAATTTAAAGCATCATACATAATATATATAATTATATTTACAAAGTCAAGATGTAAGTTACAATGATTCCGAATATAAAATTTATATCGAAATAGTCTCTATCGTGGTTTATTTAGCTGTTTTTGTTCGAAGTCGTCGTTTGAGAATCTGATGATCACTTTCCTTTACTTTCCGGTCCATTAAAATCTGAAATTAATAATTAAACAATTCTAAGTAAAAATAAAAATGAAAGCTTGTTTATAATAAAGAATGAGCTATATTCATATGCTTAATAATTGAAATAGCTGATAAATTAGAGCTTTTTTGTCCTTATAGACTGCAGGTATACCATCTTTCTATCAAAAAAGAATGCCTAAGGAAGTAACAGATTGGTGAAGTAACACTACCTACTTCTAGAATTAAAATAACCTATAGTCTGTATTGAATTCAGGTAATATGTAGTTTGAAATAATTATTAAAATATTTGGAGATAAATGCCTCAAATAATTTTTTAAAAATTATCTTTCAGGGCAACAAGTAAAAAACAGAAAGTATATTATACTGAAACCAAGGTTAAAAATGCTTTTGAGCCAAGGAAGAAAATGATGTACTAACGAGACAGATGACAAGCAGTGACTGACAGAACTTACAACAGCACATCCTAAAAGACCTTAATTCTTTGTCATTTGCCCTCAAGTGCCAATCTTGTATCTGTTAGCTACTGTTGCCAAAAAAAGGTTTTTTCCTGACAGTTCTTGGCCATTTCCTGTTGAAGTCTTTAATAACTTTTTTTAACTTCACTTTCATCCACTAACCAAATGCAAGCATGATAGAAAATTAGAACTTTCTCTATAACAGTACGGACTGTTCTGAGTGAGAAGAATGAGTCATAGATTCTGGATGACAATTACAGACTTTACTTAATAGAACCTTGGAAGACTTAGAGAAAAGGTGGGAGGAAACAGCTGAAAGTCAATTCTGTATTTTTACCAAGCATACTTGAGCCCTGATGTGGGCAACTTTTGTGATCAAGATAACAAGAAAAATGCATGCCAGAGGCAAAGAAATAACTAAATAAGGAATTTTATTGATGGAAATTTTTCTGATGAATTTTCAAATGCAAATGCATGGCAGGACACTTGTATGTACTAATGCAGTCTGTATGTATGTGTGTGTGTATTCATTTATTTATTTTAGGATTTTGCCATAGGGTACATACACTCACCAGAGGCAGAGAGACTTAAGAGAGGGAAAGTACGAAATTACCCCCCTAGGGGGATGGCCACACTACAATCTCTTCTCTTCCATTCTCCTCTCAGGATTTGGGCACGCACACGCACACCCTGTGTGATCCTCAGGCTACTATGTCTGGGACTCAAACGGTGGTAGGCCATATGGGAGTTCAGCACCTTAATCGCCATACCACCTACTGGCACCACAGAAGTTTTCATTTCTATAAATTTAACTCATTTGAGACCAAAAGTATAACATTTAAAGTATGTATTTTAGGAGCTCTGACCTTAAAGGATAGAAATTCAAACCACAGTAAAATTCAAATTACTATGACTATTTCAGAATTTAAAAAATGAGAAGTTTTACATTAATAAAAACTAAAATACTGGGCCAGACTGTGGCATAGTGGGTAAGGTGGCTGGGTCTAATATGACTGACTATGCAGTTCAAATTCCACAAACACTGGCTTCAGGAACATGCCAGGTGTGTTTGCGTGTTTGTGCAAAATTCCAAAACGAGGGAGATATGGAAGAGAAAGGACTGTGGCATGACCATTCCTCATGGGGGGATGCTTTCTCACTTCCCCTCTCTCTCTCTTTCTCTCTCTCCAGCAAGTGGATGTGCCCCTCTGGCTAAATTTACAAACGAAACAAAGAAACTGAAACGCTAGCTTACCACTTGGCCTGACAGATCAATAGGAGATGAAATTTCATTTGTGTATAATTTCCGTTTGGCTCGTTTTGGAAAACATACATTTTCTTTACTTGCTTCTACATTTGAGGGCTTTGAAGAACTCATTGTTTCAATTATTTTCTTTGCTATAAAATGAAAGAGGTAATTAATTCAAATAATAACTACAAAGGTTGGGATCTTTAACAAAGAAATAACATAACAATTTAAAAATAATAATATAGGTTCCAAAAATAGATGATTCATAAATAAAAAAATTAGAATCCTCAGAAACACATGAAATAATGATCAACAGTTCATATCATCTGACTAAGATTCAACATAGTGAAAATGTTTCGTAAATACTGTACAAACCCAGACATCTGCAAATCACAAAGAGGTTTATGCTGTGGTAAGCAGAAGAGCAGAAGACATACAGAGTGGAGCATACGGCATTAAAAATAACGTGACAGATCAAGATCAGTGCCCACACACAAAAACGCCTACATATATCCTAGCAAAATTACTTTATGAATCCTTGACTTACAGTTCTCACGCATGTACACACACAGAGAGAGTAAAGGACTGAAACCAAACTTAATAGTTGATTTCTTCTGGGAAGCAGCATAAACTTTTGAAATTTTACTTTATAAATTAGTTTTTTGTTTTTCAATGAACAGATAATGGATTTTAATAGAAAATACATTTCTATCTGGAAAACTTCTTGGATAGACAATTCATATACATCTGATATCAACTATAAATTTTTTAATTTTTTATTTACATTTAATCATTGTACATCTCTATAGAGTACAATATAGTTTTCCTAAGCATCCATTCATACCTGTAAAGATAGTACCATATATATCATTTTCAATAGATAACTTTAAATTTTTAATATCTTTACATTCTTGTTAAATGTCTTAGAAGACATTTAACATGGCTGACCACAGTTCAAATCCCAGCCCTGGCAGCTTGCAAAACATCTCCAAAATCTTGACAGGATTGGGGCCAGTAGGTGACATGGTGGTTAAGGCACTGGACTGCACATGGTTGACAGCAGTTCAAGTCCTAGACCTGGCAGCTTGCTTTTCCACTTTCCTTCTCTCTCTGGTGAGTGCTGTGTGCCCTAGAGCAAATTTAAAAATAATAATAAATACAAGTAAATAAATACTTCTTTTTCAAATTGTACTTTTTTTTTTTTAAGGTTTGCTATAGGGCACATGTGCTCACCAGAGACAGAGACAGAGAAAGTGAGAAAGCAAGCTACCAGGTATGTTTATATATATATATAAAAAACCCTGACAAGATGGAAAAATGGAGAAAGGATTGTGGTGTTACCATGTTCCATTAGGGGTTGCTTTCCTCTTTCACTCCCTCCCTCTCATCCCATTTCCCTCCCTCCCTCTCATCCCCTTCTCTCTCAAAAACCCTTTGGTAATTAATTAGCTTAAGAGATACCTGCCAAGTATCAGAGGGTCCAATTAAGATAATTAAGACAACAAGCCAAAATGAAATTAAAACCCAAGCCTTCTAAACACTTAACTATGACAATATAAACAAAAGGCTACCCTGAGAAAGTACCAACTCCTAGCCACCCGCTCATGTATCTCCCCATGGAATGGTGTACAGGCTAGGCTCAGCTGGATCAGCACAGAAGCAGAGATCATCTTACAGCTCACACAGTCCAAAACAAAAGGATCCTGTAATTGTATGGTCCTCAGAGCTAGAGCCTAGGCTGTGGGACAGAGGACTACCAGGGAGAAGTCACAGATCTTCAGGGTTCTCTTCCCTTCCCTTTCATAAGAAGGTCTCTGGCAAAGGCACCTGAGGAAGGCATCTGATGTTGGTCCCAAAAAAAGGTCTCCAGATGGGGACACCCCAGTTAGGAATGCAGATGTGTAGAAGAGCATGAAAGGCTGGGAGCCTGAGTCCTCTACTGTAACTCTTACAAACAACAATGCATTGGTTGTGCATCAAATCAAGGGAGGGAGCCTTCTCCACATGAGGCCTATCAGGAAAGTCTTTATAACAACCTATGGTCAGGACCAAAACAAACCAAAACATGTGATTCTTGCAGGAAGCCAAACGCTTCACTACTATGTGATGACAGCCACCATACTAAGGACTAAGGGTGCCAACTAGACACGTTTTGTCCTTCTGGAGCTTATATCTTTTGTGGAGAAAAGATAATGAGAAAACAAAGAAATATAGTTTAAAAAAGTGCTAAGAGGAAAAAAACAGGATTAAGTAATAGAGGTTAAGTGAAGCTGGTGATGAAGGTTAGAGGTAGAGTGATGAAGGGAGACCTCTCCCAGATAAAGGAGCATCGGCTATGAGTGCTTAAGGATAAGAGAGCAGGTGTGAGAAAAGCCAGGTGTGTTGCAGGTAAAAGAAAAGTACAAGAAAATATGCAAACTAAACAAAACAAGCAAAAATGACCTCACGGTAAGAAAAAAGCCAGTATCTGACATTCTGGGAGCCACCAGAAGCTAACAGAACTGAAGCTGGCAAGTTATCAAGCCACAGAATAACAAGGCAGGCTGGAGAAGCAGAGATCAGGTCATGCAGGGCAACAGGAAATCATTAAACGATGTAAAACAGAGAAGTAACACACTCCGATTTTGAAAATATCACTCTGGCTATCCGTATGACTAGGCAGGACACAGGCAAGAGGGAAAGGTGGAAGACCAGAGATACCACAGGGGTTTTCGGGGCAGCACAAAATTAGGTTAACAATCTCTCTCTCTTTTTTTTTTCCCCTTTTTTGCCTATATTTCCAATTGACTCAAAACAACAAGTTTATGTAATTACAATCCAAAGTAGGGATATCTTATATTCCTAAAGTAGAGAAGAAAAGAAAAAAGAAAAAAAAATCCATGCCCAATATATGGGAGGGAAGCTGTTAAGGATCTAGTCAAGTAAGTAAGCCTTCATGGCCTGATGGGTAACTCCCTCTCCCTGAAAACTGATTTCCTTTTACTCTATGTGATAGCCCATATAACGTAATAAAACACATAAGAATTTAAGAAGTCCCCCCTCTCCAAATTTAGACATTCAACAGTTTTGTGTGTTTCCCTGCAGATATCTTGTAAGCTTATACAAAGCATACATTTTCAAAATGTATGTATTTTTTAAAGGACCAGCAGTTAGCGTAATGGCTATGTCACTGGACTTCCATGTAGTCAACCGCAGTTTGTGTCCTGGACCCAGTGGCTTAAAACTCATGCCGGGCGCGTGTGCGTGCGTGCCCAAGATCCTGAGAGGAGAACAGAGAAGAAGGGATTGCAGCGTGGCCATCCCCCCTGGGGGGTGATTTCTCGCTTTCTGTCTTTCTGTCTCTCTCTGTCGGTCTAGCCAGCGCACATGCCCTATAGCAAAAACCTCTCCCCCAAAAATAATAATAATAAAAAAAGGTTTTTTTTTTGGAAAAATATATGAATGGCTCTAATAGGTCTGAAGTTCCCAGCTGTGTGCTAAGGCACGCGACAGCATGTACAGCCAGCTTACCAGGGCACCTCAGGACACTTCCAACCTTCAAGGAGAACAGTGGTACCCGAAAACTCGAAGCAGTTCACTTCAAAAGCATGTCACATAGCATTGCTTTTGGTGATAACACATAGTTGCAACCGATTTTCAGGAACTGGGAAGTAGCAATTCTGACTTAAATTCTAATGAATGTGACTATTAGGTGATTCTCTGAGTGTAGTAGGGCAGAGTGAAAATAGTGACTGAGACATTAAGGGCACTGTGAAACAAGTCAAGCTTGGGAAGCTCTAAGGTAAGTTTTCACAGAAGTATTTTTACACTTCATAACTGATGCAACTGTACTGCCCCACGTCTAGTCACTCTCCCTGCGTCTAGTCCCTCTCCCTGGGTAGGCCCTCTCCCCACGTCTAGTCCCTCTCCCCGGGTAGGCCCTCTCCCTGGCTAGGCCCTCTCCCCTCCCCATTCTCCCCACCTCTGGTCTCCAATTCATCCTATTGCTTCCACGCAGGTAATCTCGCAAAAACCACCCCCTTACCCCCAAGTGGTCCCTCACATTCTACATGCCAGATTCGCATTGCTACCAGAGATT